ATGTGGCCTACGACGTCGAGCCAGGCAAAGACGTGACATATTAGAAAGTTTTCAGTGGCACAGTAGGCGACGTATGAGCAAAAATGGCCAAAAACGCATAGAATGTCGTAGTTCACATGAAATCCTCTGCTACTAATCGACAGTTCATATACATTGAGAAAACCTGTTACGATCGGGGCAAGTTACGATTGTATTGGCCGTCTCCTCGGTGAAATAGCGTCCAAATCCTTGTTCTTGTGCCCTGGACTTTGGTCATCACATCTTGTTTAGACGTTACTACCGAAACAACATCATGCGTGTCGTCACCAACGGACACCGCAGTGATCTCAGCCTACGACATCTCAGTTATATTCGCCACAATATGTCTGGTAGCGCTTGGAGTTCTATTGGCCCGAAAACTTAATAGTTCGCTCTACAAACCGGTTCTCGTAAGTCTCTCAGAAGCTGTTTCTGGATTAAATCCCAACAAAATTATCTAGAATTTTAGTTTCACTTCGTATCCACACTGCTTCTACTCGAGATTCCCCTAGTGATAGTGATCTCACTGAAGTACGCCTCTCAGAGTACGGCTGCTATTCGAGCAGCAGACGCAACTAATTTACTCGTCGCTATACACTGCAGTCTTCATTCGGCGTATTTCATTTATAATCACGAAGATTATAGGGTAAGTTTTTCGCAAACTGAATCCTTTACGAATTTTACGAGAGAGGTGTGGCTCAAACTTTAGCGGCAATTAGTACCCCCGTTTGGTGAGCAATCCAAAATGAACGTAGAGGTATTTAATGATCCGAGAGCGAAGTAAACATGAAACGAGAATGTCGAAACCAGTAACATGACCCCCCCCCCCCCCTTAGCGTCCCCGTTGATCCCATGTCGTCAGCGATCATAAGGCGACGTCAACGTCACAGAACCTAGACAGGTGGAGACCACTGAACGTACTGGCCACTTTGGAGTGGAGCGAAAGCTCCTGGTGGAGTCGAAGGACCGTTTTGTCCTGCCTTGTTAAAATCTCTCAACGCGCTCCCCATAGCACAACTCCTTACATATCGCGTACTCAAGACTTGTGAGTGTTTATCGTACGCTAGGAATCCTTCAGCGAGGAAGCCGTGGTCGTATTTCGAAAGATCTTTACCAGCGCCATATGGGTCTCCATTCAAACGCGGCATACTCTAAATGCCTGTCCAAGTTACTGTTCCCATTTGAGCATCTACCCTCAAAACGAGGTGACAGTTCTACAGGATAGGGCAATTCCGTGTCACACTGAAACCTCTGCTAGGCGACCAGCCCATAAGGCGGAAGGCGAGGCGAAATGGGGTGCCACGACACCTGTATATTCCTATGCAGACTTTTCTTCTATACACACGTCTCTTCCTTTTGGGTATGTGGCAAGAGAATCGTAATTTGTCGCGCCATTGGGCGTCGCGTGCGACGTCGCGCCCGCTAATGACGACGATTTCAGGTGGTATTGGTCGAGAATAGACAATGTATGACCAAAAATAGACATAAGTGTCTACCATGTCTTGTCTGCATGTGATGCTCCAATCGAAAGGGTAGTGCAAATTAAGGAAACGTCGCGCCCATTGCCGCGCGCGACGGAAGCGGCAATTTACGATTCTCTTGCCCGTCTCTCCTTGCTTTTCTTCGTCTGCGCCCTCGTTACCCTCGAAACTTATTGTTACTCTCAGATAGCATATCAAAGAGCTATTTCAAACTATTACGAAATAAACTACATCCTTGGATAAAAAGCCTATTTACCCGTCTAATCCCACGCCATGTATTCGACCCTTTTCCGGATTTAATACGCTTATTGAATAAAACTTAGGTATTGGGAGGGTGATATAACAGTGATGACATCGATCACTCCCTCTGAATCAGTCCCTCGCTCTGAAATGTTGCTATGGCTTTTCCGAAAAAAACGAAGCACTCTCAATGTTTCACTTTCAGCAGGGAATTCATGCAACGTTCACCAAATTCCGAATATTGTCTACCCTATGATTGGATCGGTGATCTATGCAGAACATCAGATTATTATTTGTAAATATACAACCAGATGCTGGTATAACTTTGCACTTGGAATTCACGTGTATTTCTGTAAGACTCACACTTTCTTTCATCACATGGAGGGTCATAGGTATTGATTGTGATATTCTCTTTTATAGTATTTTCATAATTGTCACTACAGTGTATAGTTCTTCACAGAATTGTAATTTATTTGTATAAAGTAATGTATTGAAATTCTCTCCACTTTTCCATGCAAGCATTACACTACACCACATTACTGTAAGCATTACAAGCTGATAAACAGATAGTAACAATAAAAGAATCAACAAGCAGAAAACGTAACAAGGAAATTGAGTTACAACTGCTGGCGTAAGTACAGCCATTTAGGCAGCGTTCAGACTACGCGACAGCAGCGTTTCGTTCACGCGTTCGACGCGATCAATGCAGCAGAAAGCATGCGTACGATCGCGCCGAACGCGGCGACCGAAGCGCTGCCGTCCGCGACGTACTGACACGCTGCCTTATGTCTCAAAAGTAGTATACCACAGTCAACCCAAGAAAACAACTGGCTACAGCCTGCGGACCCTTGAGCTATTTTGGAAACCTCTCTTCCTTGCATTACCACGCTTCTTTTTGTTCTCGGTCTTCTTGTTCTTAAACCACTGCTGTCGATGTATCTGACTCTTCTGCCGAATAGGCTTATTTCCCTTCTTCTCTTTCTTTTCCCTGCAAATACTGACCAGTAATCGTAAATGAATAAGACTACCTTCGTAATGAACACCAGATTTCGCCAGATTTTTATTTCTATTACCATACAGACTGGACCGGTTATAAATGGAGCGCGTAATTCTTCGAATTGGTATCAAAGGATCAGATAGTGCTTTGTTCAGTACACTTCCTACAATGCTGAACGTCGATTCGTCCTACGTCCCAGTGAGGGGTCGTATTGGTGTTGAAAAATTTTTTTGATCATTGTTTTTTTTCCTGTTTCACAAGCGCTATGTGAGGATCCCAATGAGAAGGGGGGTTCGTACTTGCTCGTGGTTGGGAGACGGCGAAGAGTCGATTTTGCCAAGAGAGTTGCCCAAAATTTTTTCTCCGCCGACGTGTCAAATTGAGTTTTTCCGTTCCTAGCGCTGTACACCCCCCCCCCTCGACGGCAAAATCTTCTGGAAAGAGTACGAAATTCTTGAGAAATTCAGGAACAAGCGGTGGGAAACTTCGGAAAGTTGACAAAATGATCGGCAAGATGGAGATTGGGCTGGGGGGGGGGAGTAGTAATGTTCTCAAAATTCTCGCCAGGGGCAGGGCAGTGTCACTACTGTGGAACAACCAACCCTTTTGTTGTGATAAAGAGAGGGACATTTCTATCCATTTGCGGACCTCCCTTCTGTCTTTACCTGAATGGTTGAGTTCCTCAGACGAAAGAAGGATCCGCCAACAGTCCCCTACTTCTGGACTTCGTTTTGTACTGCGAAAACAAGTGCAGAATTACTTATGAAAGTTGAAAACTAAAAGTCTGGACGATTCCGTGAGCTTAGGCGATGAGCAACAGCGGCACCACAGATATTCTTGGCAAGAAGATTTATAGGACTCGTCGTGCAAAACTAGAATTACTTTAACGAAGGAGTGGCATTGGCTGAGCCTAGAAGTAAAAGGAGCTTCAGGGTCAGTTCATTCAAACATGGTAATCCTACACTAATTAAACCAATCCCACTTATGCACAACGATACCTTTGGATGCCCCCTCAGGTTAATCATGCCGAAATGCTCAGTGAGCAGCTCTTCTCACACTTGAAAAAGAGGAAGGAAAAACAAAATATAAGGAATTAGCCTCTAAGTTGAAATATCAATGTTCTCAAAGATCTGAATTCAGCTAAAATGTCAAACGACAAACTCACTGTTTCGATGGTCCAGCAACGGCAGCTGCCTTCTCCTCAACAATTTTTGCCTTTTTATTCTTGAGTTTCTCCCAAATTTCCAGTGCGTGCTGTTTCTCACCACCCGCTTCATTTGGCAGGAACTGAACCGTTTCTAGCTTTTGTAGCATAAAGCAGGTACAAGGAGAAAAAATCAGAAGAAATCAAATTAATATTAGGAGCTATCTGCCTCGGGACACCAGGCGAATGCATCAGTTGCATTTTGTTGCCCTGCACCGCAAGCATGCAAATATTACGGAAAGAGAGCTCTGGGGTAGATGAAACACTTATTGTCTGCGAAAGGCAGGAGCGGTTCGACGTGGGTCATCCACCTCGGAGCTCCCTTCCCCTCCCTCCCTTAAAACTGCACATTATTCTTCGCTGAAAAATTGGGATTGCATGATGGCCCAAGGCCCGCATTCACCGACAGACCGCATCGAGGCACATAACACCACTACAATGTATGCATTTGATGTGATACGGATAAGATCACCTTCCGCTTCTTTCCAGTTTTAACATTCTCCTTCTCTCCTTTAGCAAGACGTTGAAATTTCCCAGCAGATGCAGTAGCTGTCTTAGCGCGATCAACGGCAAAACGAAGCTAAATTTCTTTTTTCCCTGACTTGTCATCATGAGTATTACAGTCTGCTATAACTCATCCATAGCTTGAGCTTACCTGCTCTTTGGATTTCTCTTCCGGTGCAACACCAATACCTATACTAGCGTCAATCGATGGTCCTTTTCTCATTTTCGAACCCATCTGACGAGCGAGATTTTTCAAACGTTGTGTTTTCTCACTTTTTCGGCTATCGCTCCTTCTCTTAAATTCAACTGCGCTCAGCAGAAGTAGTTCCTTATTCGGGTCTAAAAATACAAGTCACGAGTGAAGGTAAACATAGCCTAAGACTCAGGACTACACTTAGTAATCATTCCTGGAACAATGCATCCCTTTGTGGGAATTATCGGAGGCTACCAACAAAGCCCGTAGCGGGACCAGTTGCAGTTAACTGGCAGACATCGAAAGACTTCAGACATTTTGATGAATTTATTGCTAAAGACCAGAAAGATACGAAATGATGTTACAAGCCCCAATCATGGACACGTGCGTATCGGTAGATGTTCGAAAAAAACAACTCTCCTTTATAGAAGTCCGCCCCCCATAAGACGTTTCCCCTCCCCCATCCTACCTAATATCTTCATACCACTTTCCGAAGTCTGTTTCAGGAATTCTTCTGCTCTTCCTCCAAAAAAACTGCCTTCGAGCAGAGTGTATAGAGACTCGAAGCGGGAAAAAACCAAAGTCAACATCAAAAAACATTTTTTTCTAGCGTGAATACGACCCCTTTCCCTCTCCAGCGATCATACTACGCTGGCGAAGACGTACTAACATGTCCAAGCTCCACTGATCACCACAAGCAATGAACATGAAGAACAGCAGGCTGAGACTTGATTCACCCCTCAACGCCACTGTGAGCACCACACCAAAACAAACACTCACCAGCGTTGTCAGGAATTTCTATCAGCCAATCCTTGGTATTATCATTTCCTCTTCTGTAGCCATATGTTGGCTTCCATTCTTTCGTTGCTTCATCAAACACCTGCAACATACATCTTCAAGAAACTTGACAGGTTGTATTAAAGACAGCTCCAGCGCTCAAGCCGCCACAAGTTCAGTATTCTTGCTTGTTCAAGTAGTCTGGTGCGCAGTCTCTGGGTACTTTCCTTTTTCGAGGCTTCACGGTAAAAAACGAGGACGCTGTGGCCCTCATAAATGGCAGTTCTGCCAAATAGTGCCCCCCCAACCAAAAATCAAAGGTCATTTTCTGTCACGAGTTCAGTTTTTACAGTGTTTTTTTTCACTGTTTGATGGCATCAGCATTGGATGACACGAAGAAAAGATTGTGAGCCAGAGGCGGCAGGACATCTTCTGCCTGCATAAAACGAGCAGGTACGGAGAGCTCGTTCAGAAAGACTGTCAGTTCCTTGGTATTCTTCATGATTTTTTTGCTTCTATCGAGAAGCAACCAGCGATTTGTAACTGAACACCACTATTCATAGTACACAGTAGGCAACTGGGGTCTGTCTTCGAGGATTCAGATCCCATCAGTATGGGAGAATTAATGACTTGTTAAAAAAGTACAAGCTAGACAAACAGTAGCCTTGCGCTGGTTTTCTCTACTCCTTACTACTACTCTTATGAATCTAAATAACGACATCTGATGACAAAAGTTACCTTTTTGCTTTTCTTCTTTTTGGTCAAACCCTTTTCTGCCGCATATTTCTCCCATTTCGTCGGTTCTTTCTTCTCAGGTATCTAAAAAATGGCATTTTCTTTCAAAAGAATCAAGGCATTCGGAATGACTGACCTTCTTCTCTCTTGGTAGAATGAACGAAGATTTCGGAAGGACGGCCATAACGGCTTCCTCGACATTCTTCCTATTCAGCTCCCAGATTTTATTAAACAAGAACTGGGCATTGTTTCTTGCACGAGTTAACAACTTTTCACTAAAAAAATGCATCGAGAGAATAGGTATAGTTGAGGAGAACATAACAGGTGCTAGCTAAAGGTTTCACATCAATACGCTACCTGTTAGAGCATAACGAATGATGTCTCATGACACCTCAATAGCAGGGAAATCGCCTCCCACACCACACCCGAGAAATTTCGCGGACTCTTCAGTTTTTTTTTCATGTTGTGCGGTACCTAGGAGGGATGAGGATTCTCGCCTGAGCCTAGATTAGGGAGCTCTCGGGCGGGTGAACCAATTTCCCTTTTGCAGAAAGGGTTCTCGGAAAACTTCACCTGAAAAAGCGTTGGCCTATCCGGAGGCTCCTTGCCCTCCACGGCATATATGCTAGTGCTGTGTAAAACTTTGCCAACCCAACACTTTTGAACTTCCTTTTTCGCTGAGAGCCGAACTTAATGCCATCTTACCTAACTTATCCAACACTTCGTCGTCGAGATCGAACGTGGCCGAAAGTGTTCTACACGACGACGATGTGTCTTGTTCCCTTATTCTATGCTAATGACGTGTTCTGAGATGTGCGATTCCTAACGCGTAGTATACCGGACTGCGGACCTAACTGGGCTAGCGCTATCTTCAGTAATGTGCGGAATACTTACAAATTTTGGTGCCAAGGCATTGGAAGAGGGGGGGGGACACGCGGCAAGCTGCTCTTCCGCTCCCTCCTCGCCGAGATTATCCAGCAAGCTTGGTTGGCTCCAGTGAGAGTTGTTCCCAGGTAACTTCAGAATTTCAGGAGTAGAACAAGATATTCACACCGTCATAGGGTAGTAGTCGAATAAAGTCAGGCAATTGACGCTGAAAAGTGCGAAGGAGTAATCAGTGGACGAGATTATCAATGTCTAGGAGGGAAAGATTTTAGGGTGAATGAACCCTATCCTTTCTGCAAAATGTTACTTCCAAAAGCCTTGGACGCTCCGCAGATCGAAAGCCCCTCTCCCGTCGCTTCAATAGCGCCCCAGCAGAACAGACAGGCAGGAGCAGACAGTAGTTCAGCAGCAAACGCTATGCTTTTGGGCAAACTTTCCAGTGGGTATACTCACTTCACCTTTCTATCGGTTCTTTGGCACTTTCAGAAATCCGCAGCAGAGCAGCTGCTTCTCTCAAAGTTGTCGTTTGTTTTTTCTGCATGTTCACTTGTTTTGGATTTTGAATTCTGTTTCGATGTTTTGTTTTTTCTTTTTGGCGTTGTCTTACACAACGTACTGACATCGAAGTATTGTTCTGTCCCTGAGTCTCATTTCAGCTGAATGTGCGGTAACAGTGTTACCACACAACGTGCTGGATAAAGATTAATACTTAATGGTTTTTTCAAACACTCGGGAAGGGAGCAGAAGAGCTGCGCGCAATGTGTTCCTCCTCACCCCCCCCCCCCGATGCGTTAACGCCCAATTTTCTAACAAACAAATAAGTACATAGCTCTCACCTGGCATCTCCTTCAATGGTGTCGCGATCCACAATGATAAGATGTCCGAGGTCCACGAATGGATCCACTATTTTTTGCACGGAAGTTGGCTTGATATCGAAATGTGGAAGATCATCCATCTGTGTGAGAAACATTGAATAAAATGGGTCATAATGAAACACTAAGCTCCAAGCATGTAAAAAAACTAACTCCCACAGCAAATGCCAAAGGCGGCTTGTATAACGTAGTATCCGTAATGCACACAATGTCCGCAATTGAACAGCACCTTTCGAAAACGAAAGCGCGCTTATTTCCGTTGCGACATTTTGAAGGACGTTTGTGAATTTCCTACGGCCAAAATCCAAATTTATATTCCAAAGAAACCGTCTTGGATGAACGCTGCTGAAAATAAAGAAGAACAGTGCCAGAATAGTCTCAATAAAATATATTCTGATCTACTCCACCTCATTTGCTCGTAAGTGCTAGGCTTTCTTATTCATTTCCAATTCTGGTCTTCTTTCAGCACATTGACCATTAGCCCTCCATTAAAGGTTCGAGAAAGGAAGTGGATCTGAGTTGACTGTTCGCTTGCGACAAGTCGAATCGGGCTTGGAACAGCTACGTGAAGCAATCCTGTTGATACCCGACATTCAGAATAACGAACAAAGACAACGTGACAAAATCGCCTCCTTGTACAGGTAACCTGTTTTGATCAGCTATTCCGATGTGCTTCCCATGCGTTCCAGCATCCTTTTCTTTAGACAAATAAAGCTAAAAGATGAGCTCATCCAATCCTTCATGCACTACGATATCGTCGACGGATCCGAAAGTGGGTGTATCAGTCGTTTGGTGTTTCTGTAACTTCCTTTTCAGTTGTTATTACTTTCCTTCGGCGGTGACGTAGCATACATACACAAGCTGTAAAGAGGTAGATCATCACTCAACGCGTTAATGACGTTGAATGACGCCAGCGATAATCTACTGTCTGTGTCTAGAGCTGATATATACCATTTTCATTTCAAATCGGACACACTTTTTGAACTAAAAAGGACACTCTTCAAACTGAATGGGACACACCTCTCACATTGGGCAGTTGATTAATTGGACCACGTTAGGCACCGCTGCAAGCCGCGTCCCAGCACCCTCGCCCCTTCACAGAACTCCCACTTCAGAAAATGG